ATGAAATTGTTTGTCAATTTATAATAACAAGTGGTATTTACTACTCCAATTCTGCTCACGATTGCATTTCAAAATCGAAAAAGACTTCGGGGCGCAGAATAAAAAATGTACATAAATTCATATAGAAATATTTAAGCAATAAGACTTAACTGCTTGACCAAATATAGGATTTCTCTTATTTAATTAGATAAAGCTTTCTCCTGATTTATTAATAAATCTAATTCGTTGTACCCAATGTAATAAGACCAAAGTGTGCGAAAAACTTGAAGAAAAACAATCCCTCTTAATTTACAACCAACTATACTCGGACAGATAGTATCAGCCTCCTCCTTCAATTATCCTCGTATAGGGCGCGATAGGCACTGTCGACACTTCTAAGAATCGGGGATTTCAGATGACAATACCGAATAGGGATGGACCCTAAGTGCATCGTGAAAGATAAACAGAAACAGAGGGGGCTGAGAATAAAGGACAAGACGAGGCAAGGCGAGGCGAGGCGAGGCGTCCGGTCTTGGCGGCGTCCGACGAGCAACGCTCGTCTCACCCCCGTGCGTCGTGGTGGTGCCAGAAGAAGTATTCTTGCATTGGCCGTCGTCGTCGCCGTCGCCGTCGCCGTCGTCGTCGACATCATCTTCGTCGTCGTCGCCGTCGGCCGGCCTGATGGCGGCAACGACGACGTCAGCGACGCCGCTCCACGCTTGGCGTCGAGGTTAGCGCCGGCCGGTCGCTCGAATCGGCGCCTGACTGTCTCTTTCTCTCTGTCCCTCTCCCTCTCCTTTTCTCTTTCTCTCTTTTGTTTGTCTGCAGCCGGGAGAGAGCAGCCGTCGTTTCGTCGTCGTCGTCGTCGTCGTCGTCGTCGACGTCGTCGTTCGTTCGACGGCGACGACGTGGCTCTGCCAGCCGGCTGTCGCCATCCGCGCGGTCTCCCCTTCCTCCCTGTTCAACCCATCGCTCGCATTTTGGTTTCTGTACCCGCCTGCTCGATCTATTTCGTGGCATGGATGCGTTTAGGTAATGAAACGAAGCCGTTCGCGAAAAATCGCTTTCAGGTTTAACGCCGTTGAAGCCGCGTTATGTCAGTTATGAGTGATCCAACACTCGGGGTTAAACGGAGAGTACAGACTCTTGCGTAACGCATAACGCATGAGACATAATAAATTGAATCAACCAGAGTTCTTTATTTCATGGAAGGAAATAAAGGATTTTGATTGGTTCATTTTCTTATGCATTATGTGTTATGTGTTATGCTATGCTCCTTGTCTTAGCCGGGGTATCGTCGTTAGCGAGCGTTGAAATTACCGCCCGTGCGGTCTCTGTCTCTGCCTCTGCCTCTGTCTCTAGCAACCATTCATTTATCGTACCACCACCATTTGTGTTAATTAATTTTGTGTTAAGCATGACGATTCGCATTACTGTGATTAGCGAGTAAATCTATTTGATCGCGATAACATTTTTCAAAGTTTAAAAAGTATTGACGCATTAAAGATTGACGCATATATTGTCGTTTTTCGGATCCTTCTGATCGCTTTTCAAAACTTTTTGACATGCTTGAATGCTTTTTCGAAACGAAGGAGAACCGTTTCGTTATTTTCATCGTCGTGAGTTTTGCAAATAATCTTGGAAAATGTTTGATCGCAATACGCTTCATTTCAATGAATTTTGGTACGCAGAAGTTTAAACGAGATCAATATATTTTTGAAATCGCTTTCGATTTATCAAACTTCACGGAGAAAAATGGATAGTCTTACAAGTCTAGTAAAGATGTCCTAGCTATTTTTGCCAAACGTATGACAAATTTTACTTGCCTGAAAGTAAGAAATGCCGGAGATATATAAGATCAAAAGTATATTACAATTATAGTGAAACCATTTAAATGATTATTACTTTGCAGTATAAAGTAAATCATATTATTCTCAAAACTGCAAACCCTCAAGACTTTACACACTTCTTGCCGCGCAATAAAGTCAATTTTGTTAAGGTAAAAAATACTCGTTGATAAAGTAAATTAAAATGTATGGTAATTAATAGACTAAGAAATAGTAACAAATTGCAGCATAAAATGTACTCTACAAAATGTAAAAAGTACCTTACAATGTGACCGCACGACGATCGCTCTTTTACCAGAAAAATGAAGTAAATTTTAAATAAATGGACGCGTATCTCCCAATATGGACCTGTCAATTCCACAAAATTTACTAAAATTCCAATGCATAAACTTTATATTTTTCTCCGTGTTCGATGATTCGTTCGAGGATTAAGTGGCTTTAGAAATTGTTTTAAACGTGTTTCTATTCTCTCTCTCTCTCTGTTGAGAGGAAATCGATCGTAATACACCGCGTCGTCGGGGCCCGCGGGGAAATTCCTGGGCCCCATCGCCATAACAAACAAGGCATCAATCCGGTGGTAACTGATGCTGCAGCGCGCGCCGCAAAATTATCGTTCGCGTAATTAGATCACGATTCTGCGGCGCGTAGCCGAAACCAAATGCGAATCGTTTCATAGCTGAGGGCCAGCCGGATAATGGGACTTGGCCGAGCCAACGTGATTCGTGAGCCGGCGAAAGGATCGTCCCGATTGCCGTCCGTCGATCATCTCCCATCATCACGAAGGTATCGGCCCTCCGAAACTATCGGGGCTATGTTTTATGAAAGAGGCTTTGGTACCCGGCCCCGGCGCCGCTGCTGGCGACGAGTATACACGTCTTCCTCTCTGATTTCTCCCTTTCTTACTTTTCTCTTTTTCTCTTCATCGCCTCCCTCAGTGCCAGCCCGACATGGCGTCCCTTAACCCAAACCATTATCTGTGTACCGTACGATTATAGGGCAACGGGACCGACAAATAGTCGCAGGCTAATCCATAGGCGCCAGCAAAAAGGGACGCGTTCTCTTCGAGGATATTTTTAATTTCTGCTGATAAGGGTGAACCAAAAATATTAGGTGTTGGAATTAATTCGTAGCGTTTTTTAATGAAAGAATGTTATTTATTTCACATGAGCATTAAAAAATACATTAATGAAAGTACTTCCCATCACTTGTAAAACGCTACGAATTAATTCCAACACCTAATATTATCTTCCAGAAACGTAAGGCTCAATTGAAAAAAGAGATGACGATTTTTTAATTCATTGATCAATTGAATTAAAAACTCTCGCCTAAGATTATAATCGAAATAATTGGAAAGTTTCTAAGGAAATTTGATGAAAGTGAAAAGGAAAGTTTCAGTACAGCTCTAACGTAGTTTTAATTCTAGTTGTAGTCCAGTGGCAACAAAAAAGTGGCATAAAAAAATAAACCTAATCAGAAAATATTAAGAGAATCGAGAAAATATTTTTGTATATCATAAGCTATATATCAGATATATATATATATGTTCTTGTTATTCTTTGTATTGTCCTTTGTATTTGAAAAAGTATTGTACGTCCGGAATAAAATCGTATATTCAATAATGAAAATGTTTCACCATCGAATGAAGATTTTTTCCTAGACGTCTCCGCCTCCTTCCGAGAATGTGACCTTTGACGCCCATGTGAAGCACCCCTGGCGGAGATCTTCGCCTTGTGGAGCCGGCACATACGATTCTTCGCTACGCAAACAAACCCACGTAAACTCGTGCATCGTTAACAATCCGCCTCTTCTACGTTTCAGCCCTCGTTGTTTGCAATGTGCTACCAAGATCGTTGTCGGCGTCCCTATGTTTGGATTATCGTCAGATCCAGAGTCACTGAAACATTTGAGTCTAGAAGTTTGCTACATCCCATACAATATAAATACTTTATCCAAGAGATATCCTGAGAATATATATATATATAACATACTTTCTCCAAGAGATATTCAAAGGATATAGAGATGTCTTCAGGACATCCTTTAAAAATCTGTTTTGCGTAGGATCCTCTACTATAATAAAAATGCAGAAAAATATCTAAAACTACATAAAGAGATATGCTTATTTTCTTTATTATCGAGCATCTTGACACAATTTAACTGTTTCTGCTGAAATTCTCTTGGAATTCTCTGAGGACTGAGGAGTGTTTTTGCATGCTTGATATTTTCAAAACGTGCTTTATTTTCAATTTCTATAGTCAAAGATATTATTAATAACTCGACGATGTTTCGCGAAGAGGAGATCGAATGCAAATCGATCGAAGAGTATCGCCTCCTCGAATACCACGTTTACCTTCGAGAAAACCTGTGTTATCTGTTAAGACACTTGGAGAGCTCCTCAGATAATACGGTACTCGCGACGATCAACAATTTCCCCTGCAGCAGGTGCAATGCAAACAGGTGATGCAACGCCCACGCTCCGGAGACCGCCGATAAGGCAGCTCGCACAATCTCCTCTCCTTTTACCTGGCTGTCTCTCGAGTTACCTCAGGCCGATCTCGTTCCGCACGCGAAATTGGATGCATTTAGTACTACAGTCGCTCACTAAGACCCAGTTCCACAATTCATGGTTCCACAACTCTTAAACGAGATTCAATTTGTTTTTCATCTATTCTAGAATTGGAAAAAGACAATGAATAAGTTAGAACCTCGATTAAGAGTTAACTGTGAGTTATGGAACTGGGCCTAAGCGGCTAAGTAGCAATTTAATGTGATTGGCTGGATCTAAAGAACCAATTACATTAGCCGCTCAGTAAGCGATTGTAGTACTGCAGAATAAATTCATTGAACAACACGATAAGACTATCCTTTTTGTATACCCCAGGATTGAACATTCTTGCATGATTTATATTTTTTCTTTTTCTTTTCACATTGAAAAGAAGCAGACAAAAGATAAAAATGAAAGCTGCTGAGTTCTGAGATATGAAAAAAGAACGGGATGTTCAGTTTAGACTTAAACTTTCATATAACCTTTACAAACTTTATTCTATCTTCCTTCAGTATAATGAATAATAAAGAAAATAGAATAAGAAAAAATGAAGCTTACAGTGCGCGAGCGCTCAAATCGAACGCGAACATTCTTATGGCGCTGTCGCGGTACCGTTCACTCTCGTCGCGCCAGCAATCTCCAGGCAGATCCGACGAGGAAGCGTTACGTTACGTAACGACAAGAGAACCTCGTTGATAATGAAAACGACTCGAGTTCATTGATAGCTTATCAAGGATTATTTGCCGCTCGCGGACCGAATCGCGAGCAAAATCGCGCGTAAGCGCAACGCGCGTGGCGTGGCAACGACGGCGTCCAAAGTGCGTGGCGTAGCGACGGCCGCAACGACGGCTACGACAGCGTCTAAAGTGCGCCGCGAGGATGTACGTGGGCCGCGCACAGACCCGCGCAATCGCCCGCACGCTTAGTCCCACGAGTAGCAAAGCGGCGAGCGGACACGTTGCGGGGAGCGAATAGCCACTGTCACGTTCTTCCCGTACCGAGCCTACGCCGATCCTACGCATGAACGGGAGCATGGAGCCGTCGACGGCTACGTATCTGGGTCTGGACCTGAGCACGCAGCAGGTAAAAATGACGCATGCTCGCCGCTCGGGACACGCGGAGATTGACACGCGAAGGTTCGAGTGCACTCGATCGATTTGCATTAAATATGGAATTCAAATAAACGGAATCGCCCGTGAGTTGGTTACGTATCTTGATTGAAACGAGGTGAAAGTTACAAAAGTGAATGAATTTATTAAAACATTTACAAGGCAATAAATTTTTCGCGATAAAATATTTGCAGATTTACGGTTCACGATTGATGTCCGATCATTAATATTCTTATATGCTTGGTAAAATAATTGATATAACTTACTTAAAATAAAAAAAATATAAAATAAGTTCCAGAAACTCGTTTAAAATATAAAATATACAATATAAAAGTCGGTAAAAAAAATTGATTTATTTATGACTTATTTAAAATAAAATATATAAAATAGGTTTCGAAAACTTATTTGAATTTTAAATAAGAAATAGGTCAGAAAAAGTTATTTAAAATAATAAATAACTCTTATTTTTTTTTTAATTTACATTTTTTTTTAAATATACATTTTAAGTAACTTTATTATAAATACGATCGAGCTTTGTTTATTAGCATTAAAAATTACTAATTTAATATTACTGATTCCACTAATGATGATTGCGTTTCAAGATCGAAAAATATTTTGGCGCACAGCCTGGCGCTTGCAGGATCAGATGTGTATATAATTTCGCACAGAAATATTTAAACACAAGCTTTGAAAATATAGGAATTCTCTTATTTAATTATAAATATTTATTTTCATCGATTCGTATCATATTATTTATAATTTTGTTAATCAATATCTAAATTTGCTTATATTCATATTTTTTACCTCATTTCAAAATACATAGGATGTTTTTCATTTGTGACACAAGTTGACTTAAGAATCCTTTTATCTATGTTATTTACTGAATGTCAAGAAAGATAAAATAATATTTGTGTCGATTTGTGTCATTAAATGAAAAGCGCTTTCAATTAATATCTTAGAGAGAAGCGGAAGAGAAATGTTGCTATTTCTAAAACTATTTTTGGATTCCTTTTGAATTTTTTCTAGACGCATAATTCAATAATCCTTATTATATTTGTTGATGCACTCGTAAGGATTATTTCGATGACCACTTGAAACTCGATCCAATCGTCGGCACCGACGATATTGATACGATAATATGTTTAGCATTTTAATTTGCTCCCAATTCGATCCGGAAACGAAACTCGAATGCTGTGAAGTGAAGTTTTTTTAATCCCGCAATAGACTGCACTAGAACTTTCTTTCTTGCTTTCACCAAGTATCAAACATATATGTATATAACTTTAAGTTTCAAAAACATATACGATTTCAGTTACCAAAAAAAAACCATATAAACATAAAAACAATCAAAGTTATTATTCATTGAAAAAAAAAAAAAAAATATCGGATATATATGATTTATTCTTTTACGTTCGTAATCGTAAAAAATTGGAGTCACCGAAATTTCGGTTTCCTAAAGCCCATGTCACACTATGCATTGAAGACTGAGAACTGCGAATTAGAAATTATTCGAACAGTTAGATAATTTTAATTTCCATCCGTTTCGTTATGATTAGTTGAAATCTAATCTTTAATTCATAATTCTCCAATCTCCAATGCATAATGTGAGTTTTAGAAAACTAAAATTAAGGATGAACGAAAAGTTCATCTTCATGAAAAAGTTACGTGGAAGAATTTGCAATTATGCGTGATATTCTTTTTTTTTCGAAAAACTGCGATTGCACGAAGCATTTCAAGATTATTATATGCACGCGATAAATCTCATTTCCTTAAGTATCCCGGATGTTCCTGGGAAAAAAATAACAAAAGAAATTATTATTAATTGAATTGCGATGGCGCTAATTACCTGAAATCCACGTAAGCATAGTTCAAACATGAGCATCTTTGAAACTTTCCATATATTTTACGGCAGCGTTCATCCGCTTTTAATTCGATTTCTTAAATTCTTCTGTTAACCGCCACGCAATTCAATTAATAATAATTTCTTCGTCATCAATGCCCCCATTCACTTCGCGAGTGATAACCTTAGGACGAGTGTTTACGAGTTTCATTAGCGTCGAATAAAGATGACCCGGGAGGCTGAGGTTTACTCGGCGCTCGCGTTAGGCAGTCTTAAAGTATGTCAATACGACAGTTAGCTGTTTCGTAAGGTATTTTACGCAGGAAACACGCGATCAAGTCAGAAGAGAAGTCTCGAAGCGCTCTGACGTCTTCAGGAGGGTCACTATTATCTAATAGCATGATAACACGAGTCTGTCGGCAGATAAAACGAGCATGGAAGAAAAACATAATCTGCGAAACCGTAAAAATGCGACGAAACAGAAATATTATGGCCGATAATTAACATCCGAAATTGATTCTTTTACAACGTAAAAATTTGCATACCGCGGAGTACAAACATTGAGATGCACATAAATAATTTGATTGTCGCACTGTATATAACATATTCAAACTACACAATATATTTGTAAAGATTTCTAGCGCAATATTATAATTAATTGATGTATGCATAACTCAGAGAATATAAAAAGATTGAATCCTTTAATAAGTAACTTTTTACTATGGCCGTATTCAGAACGCGCTTTTAACTCTAAAATTCTATAGTATGCGTAACGTAAATTATAGCATGTTAGCACGCTAACATCGTTATAAACGCGTTCTGAAACGGGCTTATATAAATATATATATTAGAAAAGTATAATGAAATAAAAAATAATGCAAGGAATATATATACAATTTTTTTTTACAATATGTAACTCATGAAGAATAGTATTTTAATAAATTATAGTTTCTCGAACATTAAATTGAATTCATTATATTCAATTATTTAATATCATCGATATTGCTGTTTATCCGAACGTATGATCATAGGAACTATTCGAAAAATCATTAGTCATGTCTGCGTTTAGACTAACTGATCAATTTGATTTTAGCTGAAAGCAGTAGTAGTTGATGATAATCTAGCCATTCTTCATGAGACCAGCGTACAATTCGACAATGATCTACCAGAATTTAGGTATGATTAAAAAAAATCTCTAAATATAAGAATGTTATTTTGTGTTTTGTCTTGTTAGTAAGTCGAATTAACTGCTCTTTCCATTGAACAAAATTAAAATTATAATTAAAAATTATAAAATATTTTCGTATGTTTATATATATATATATATATATATAAAATACGATGGCGAACATGATAACAATGATTATCTGTACATTTATCAAGATATATGTACACTAATTAAAAATGTCAAGAAAACACTTGTAGTATTCAACGAGATATAAATTACGTTTATATAACAAAAGTACATTCCAACTGCAGAACTTACGGAGGGGTAATACGGAAGAAGGAAGAGTCTCATGTTGTGGTAGTGCCTTCTCTGATGTGGATTAAGGCCTTAGACATGATACTAGACAAATTACGCGTCTGCGGCGTCGACTTTAGCAAAGTAGCAGCCATTTCTGGTTGTGCGCAGGTGACATGGCCGTATTTAAAATATATATATTTAAATATATAATTTACGTATATATTTAAAATAAAATCAATTATTTTATAAATATGCCATAGATAAACGTAAAATATACTTATTTTATGATATATTTTAATGATACGAACAGCAACATGGCACAGTATATTGGAATAAAGGCAGCCGAAATCGATTACAATGTTTGGACCCAATAAAATTTTTGCACGAACAATTCGCTACGTCGTTTTCCGTGACTCATTCACCGATATGGATGGATTCCAGTACGTCAAAAGAGTGTAGCGTTTTGGAAGAGATCGTGGGTGGCCCTCACGTAAGTATTAAATTATCCTCACTCGTCGCCTGCGTGTAATAATGATGGATACAACGTACACAAAAATATACGCCAAAATATCTGGCGATATACGTTAAAGTTTATATGAATGCACATTTATTGGCAATAGCTTTCACAAGGATTTATTTCCGCGATGTGGAATTTTCTAAACAATTCACAGTTGTAACTATACGAGACCAAATTGGCTAAATATTTAAAGTAACCGGCTTAGATTTAGTGTACACACGAGTTGACAACGTTTATCCATATGGTGCTGTGATTTCAGAAATTAGCGGAAATAACGGGTTCACGGGCATACGAGAGATTCTCAGGACCGCAGATTGCAAAAATAGCACGCACGAAGCCGGAAGCTTACTGCAGCACTGAGGTATTACCTACTAAAAACTCATGGCTTCCTTCGAAAAAATGAAAACGGCAATCCGACCGAGGTATTCGTTACGTATGACTACATTGATTGAATTGATTGATTTGATTGAAACTTATTATACAATTGTTTATTTCGAGCGCTTCTCTCATGAGTGTGTTAGTTTTCCAAAGTATTAATGCACAACATCGAATTTGCAATAACTCGCCGTTGGTTTAGCTCACATTACATTTGTACTTCCTTTTAATATTTCGCTTGACAGAAATAAAAGTTCCTGCGATGTAACCACCGTGTGATTTGATGCTTCTATAATAAATATATAACGATGATCGAAGCTATGCGTCATACGCTTGTGCCGCTTCTAAAACGCGTCTAAGGCGAATGTGTTATTATTCATGTATGATCCGTTGTATTTCTCTTTTTTCAGAGGATCTCGTTGGTGAGCAACTTTATTGCCTCCTTGTTTCTGGGTGATTACGCACCTATCGATTGGTCGGATGGCTCGGGTATGAATCTGTTAAATATCTGTACGAAAGACTGGGATGATATGTTGTTGGAGGTAAAATTGCATTTATATACAGTATATTGTGTATACTTCATTGTATACTTAATGTACATATTTATAATAGACCTGCGCATCAGGACTGAGAGAAAAACTAGGAAACCCTGTTTCATCATACAGCGATATCGGGCCTATATCACCTTATTTCGTAGAAAGATTTAGTTTCAATGAGAAATGTAGGATAATCGCGTTCACTGGGGACAATCCTGGCTCATTAATAGGTATGTAATATTACTCTTACACTCAGCCACGATTTTGTTAATACGAACAAAGAATATCCTGTTGTATTCACAATAAGAATGATACATAGGTATGAGGCTAAAAGAAGGTGATATCGCTTGCAGTTTAGGCACAAGTGATACCCTACTTCTATGGTTGAACAAACCTAAAACTATAACAGATGGTCACGTATTATGCAATCCAATAGACGATGAGGCCTATATGGCGTTACTTTGGTAAGTATCATTTATATTACGATTATTACGATGATAATATAAAAAAATGATTTTGCAGCTTCAAAAACGGTTCTTTGACACGCGAAAGAATACGGGATGATGCTGCGCAAGGTAGCTGGCAGATTTTCAATGAATTATTAGAAAGTACACCGCGAGGAAATTTCGGCAATTTTGCCTTATATTATGATATTCAAGAGATCCTACCTTTCGTCATAGGAGATTATAGATACAATAAAGCCAATGATGAGATCTCTCGATACAGTTCAAAAGAAGTAGAAGTGAGAGCGTTAATCGAAGGTCAATTTGTTGCCAAGAGAGCATACGCTGAAGACTTTGGATTTGTTATCGGTAAGTAATTCTCTGCAAGTTTCTCTTTTACGATCTTATTTTGCAAAAATTTTTCTAATAATTTTTCTTTTTATGAAGGACGTAATACTCGGATAATTGCCACGGGAGGTGCATCTATAAATAAAGCTATACTGCAAGTACTTTCCGACGTATTTAATTCGCCAGTGTACATCTTGGTAAATATATTATTATATTAATCCTTGTTATATTATTATATTATTCATATTTGCACAAAGATATGTCATATTCGTATAATTACGTCCGATAGGAAGCAGCTAATTCGGCTATGATGGGTGCAGCATATCAAGCAAAACATGGTTTATTGCAAAATAATTGTAGCTTCGATGAAATTACATGCTGCTTGCCAGAATTGACGCTGGTATGCCAGCCTTATGATGATGCCGAATCGGTAAGTAAAGTGAATTTTTGAATATTTTTTATTATCACAATTGATTATATATTTTGATTATAAATGTTTTTTTAGATTTACAAGCCTATGACTGTACGTTACCGCAAAATAATAGATCAGATATTGAAGAAACGGAGCGAACAGAAGCATGTATAAAAATCTTGTATATAACATAATGTTCTAAAGAGGCTTCTTATACATGATATGGTTACTAAAGTAAACACAAAACAACAGATCTGTACTTTTTGAGAGAATTTTTCTATATATTTTCGAGTTATTTAGAAATTTATACAATATATCTTTTTGTATTTAAAAAAAAAAGCATTTCATATATGGGGTAAGGATCGTACAATATTTTGTACGAATGTATAAAAAATGCTCTTAACCTCAATTTTAATTAAATAAAACTTAATTGTAAATATTTTTGAAGATTTAAAAGTAAAATGGTGATTCTCTAATATATGAAGCCTAGAGAAAGATGTATCTATGAAACATCTTGAAATAATTTATAAATCATGGAAATTACTATCTTAATTTTGTAATTTTAATAATTATAGAGATACATGTATCAGTCAAATTCAAAGTAAAGCATAATATTACACGAACACTATGCGATACAAAAGAACTTGAGCTTAAATAACAATAAAATAATATTTAATGTAATATTTATTATTAAATTATAAATTTTTATTGTTATATGTTATTAGACTGAGCTTGAATAAATGCAATATATATTTTGATATATGTTATTTTAAAATCATTAGAGCAATACAATTGTTAAAGCATTGATATAATATATCATAATTATAATTTTATATTCTTAATTTATATAGTCACCTTTTTATATATTCTCCCTTACTTTTTCCTACCACCTCTCTCCTTTGGCAATAGATTGATAACATTACCTGAAGTTAAGTTATAATACGCAAGAGTATTGTTGTCTTTGAAGAACATTCCCTGGAAGCAGAAAATTATATTGCAGAATTTCGTAATAATTCGTGTACAATGTGAAAAAACTTATTAATGATCATTACCTCATACTGCAATTTTTGCTTTCCAGGTGGCATACCAATTTGCTCGTGAATAAGCGCTTTCATAGTTGCTACAGTATCGCTTATTTGTAAGGTAATATTCAATGTCTGTCCGTTTAATTTCCATTCAGCCTTCTCCGTCATCATAGGTACAGCAATGTTAATTTGTACGGGATCCTAAAAAAAAAGTATATATTTTTTTAATTCATCACTTAAACTTTTCGATAAATTAATAAACATTAATCTTTTCACCTTATTTCTAGCAAGGAATTGTTGCTCCGGAATTAATGAATCCTCGGTTCTCAATTTCTTAGCCTGTGGCTCTTCTTCCAGCGGTTTACTAGCAGGATGTTTTAATCCAATCTTCAAAAAAAAAAAAGAAAAAAATTTAAATTAATTAAATCTTAATCCTCCTCTATGATGCGACTACCGGCTTCTATTTTACAGAGCCTATGCGCTGTTTAATAGAAAAAGAAATTTCATGATATATTCATAATTATTGATTTCTTTTAATTATTGATTTTTTTATTTATTGATTTTTTTTATTTGATTTATTTTGTTATATTGATTAGATGAAATATGAACAAAACAGCATTGGATCGCATCCGATCCTACCTTTCTGGATATTTTGAAAATTCATTTTACCATAGGAGAGTTAAACTATAATACAATAGTTCATGCAATTGTATTTTATTCCAAATTACTTACAGCAGATGTCATCGGCGGCTGTATTGGCGGTGGCGTTGGCATGAACGGTGACATTGCTGGAGCTGTCACAGATTTATTTCATTAAGATTATCTCTATATATAACAATAATAAAATATATATTTGTCAAGATGTATGAAAAAATTTCGTACTCATTAAAGGTGGTGGTCTGGGTGCCATAGGTGGCATAGGTGCCATCATCATCATCGGTGGTTGTGGCATCATCGGCTGAGGTATACCCATAGTAGGCATACTCATTGTCGGCGGTGGAGGAGGTTGAGCAGGTACCGGTATAGGCTTCGGTGCAGGTGGCTTTGGAGGTGCTTTCAATGTAGCTTGAGGTTTTGAAGCAGCAGCAGCCATATGGGAGAGTTCGGTCGCACGATTAACCGGTTTCGGACCAATCTTCTCTTTCTCCTCGTCAGGCAGAAGACCCTTAACCTTATGAATTTGATGAATCTGTTCTTCCAATGTAATGTTAGCTCGCGCGGCTCTCGTTGCTGCTTCCACACTTGAAGTATGACCGTCCCATGTGACTTTATCATCCTTCTTTTTGTCTTCTTCACCGATTTTCTTTCCAATCGCAGTTTCTTCGTCACCAACACCGAAAATATCAGTACGTCTCTCGGCGAGTTGTTTGAGACTTGCCTCGATTGCTGTGCCTGGCGCGAATACGGTCTCCTGTGCCAGTTTATCTAAATGTTTGTCTCTCTGTTCAACCCAGCGTGGATCCAACAATCCGATACGCATATGTTCTTGCACCTTACTAGCAGGAATACGTTCGCCAGTAATAGGTGAAATCAAATACTCATCCGGAGCCGCGGGACGAGTAGTTTTAGTCGCTGTTAAGAAAAATATTGAGAGTAAAACCTTGATATATTGAAGTAAAATTCTAACTAATGATTAAGAGGAAAATATGCTTACCATGTTGTTTCGGATCATATCCTTTTTTGACTACCACGTTTCCTGGTGTCGGCGGTAACGGAGGTGGTTGCATGTTTGTTTCTCGTGGTTTGGATTCTTTAGATTTGTGAGTATCACCTGGTGGAGACACATCATCCTCATCACTAGAATCTTCCTCCATATCTTGTACCTGAAATATTAAGTCATAGTATAATATTATACAAATATTTACATTAAAGTGAATTCATACAGTATACGATAATGAAATAAACTTACTTGATTATTATCTTTTGCACGATCTTTCTCATTTTCTACACGGGTCTGTGTTTCCTCTTCTGCGTCACTATCAATCTGCATCTCTACATCCTCACCGTCTTCTATGCGCTCCTACAAATATTTTTAGTTCATATATTTAATTAACAATTGCCATATGTAGTATTTTAAATCTCAACAAAGTAAAAATTTTAATAATACAGAAAGCCATGATCAAACCTGCATAAGGACGCGTGCGCCGACTTCATCCGGTGTTGTAGGCGCTGGGAAATTACCAACTTCAAATTGTTGATAGTCTACAGTTTCAACCACAACAAAATCATGCCAGTCAATTTGCGCATAAGCCACTCTTTCTCTTTCTAATTCTTCTTCCTCTTTACGTCTTTGTGCCTCCTGATATTTTAAATATTCAGCACGGTATTTCACTTGCTCCAAAATCTTATCCATATTGAGTGCTTCATCCTTGAGACGTGGCAACAAATCTTTCGGTGGAATCAATACCTATAGAAAATGCATTAAATTAGAAATTTCATAATTAAATAAGAGATTCCTATATTCAATCAAAGCTCTTAGTGCTTAAATATTTCTATATGAATTTATATACATATCTGATTCTACAAATTGCACACTAAAATTTTTTTTAGAAATTTTGACTCTATAAATAATAAAACCACATTAATCTTAAAACAGGATTATTGCTATTCGTTTACCTTGGTGTACTGCTCTAAAAGTTTAGTAAAGTACTGAAATAAGGAATGCTGAGGCCGCAGGAAATCAAATTGGAAATTTCTTTGCTCGCGATTCATTAAATTGGTCAGAAACTGTCTCCCATTACGTGCAACAAATTGAGCGGTTAGCTTCACAATGTCTCTGAAAAATAAACGTTTTATTTAATTTAATGAAACGTAAAATATCAATCATCTATATATAAAAATTACATACAGATCCAAAGCAGATATAGAAGGAGGATCTGCAATAAATTCAAACTCAGTTGGTGGATCCTTAGGTATAAACGGTTGTTCGACTTGTTTCAGGATTTCCTGCTGCTTTTGATGTGCAGTAAGATTGATAGTTTTCCCAGGAACTGAACCAATCGTAGGTTCCTGACCTTTTCCTTCCTTAAACTCTTTTACTTTGTGCTGATAATAAGCGTGATAAGGATCACCGAAGTTTAAGAAATTGAATTTTGGATTGCCTAATTCGTTCTGTCTGATCCTGGATTCGAATTCCGGGCCATTCCTGGCCACGAAACTAGCGGTTTTGTCGACAATATCTGAATTTCTATATAAGGAAAAACAAAAGATACATCAAACAATATCGCAGTTAGCCAGTGTTTTACGGGTGTCATACAAAATACACTTATCTGCATATCTTGTATTATTTCTAATTTTATTATCATTTTCTATATATTCTTTTACAAAATACACTTTCCACATCATTTTCCATTCAACCCTGTAATGATTATTAGTAAAACATTTTCATATTTCGATAATCTTGGCAAAGGATACTCCTAACCTCAGGTGGTGGATAAATAATGCCCACAATCGGTTGTGACGAGGGAACATTGTTCTCCTCGTTTTCGGTGGCTGGCGGCTGCGGTATCGCAAGTTCTTGCGTAGGCATTTTGCTTGTGATCGATGTATTTATAGCAATAAATACATTCACATGTACATAAAATTATTTTCACAACACCAAATCGAATTTCTACGAATTACAAATTGCTAATGCTTGGAAATAGGATTATAGGAATTGCCATGATGGATTCTCGCCTTATTTTGAAACACCTCCATATGTCCACAAAATTTGGATATTGAACTACGTAGCCACAGTCTACGATTCTGTAGGTAATGTAGGTAATAAGTCTACGACTTCGTGATTCTGTTTTGTCCATGATTTTGTGATTCTCTTTCGTGTTATCTAAGAGTAGGATAATATCGTTATACATTTTTTATGTGGTTTGTAGATATTTTTCTTACTTGTATAATATTTCACTAATTCTGTACAAATTTTTTCCTTTTCTTCTTACATTATACATATTATGACGTATTATTGTATACAGAATTATAGGAAGGAGCCATGTTGCTTTTTGCAAGATGACTGAAAATGACTATGCATAAAATTAGCAAAGTTAAATGTAAAAATAATAAGATCTATATTGTCACAAAATTACAATTTTTTTCTTTACATTCATCATTTCTGTCCATAATCAAACCCGGACGATAGAACATTAAACTCAGAGTTTTAAATAAAATTCGAGTATTATTTAGTTTTATATACTTATTATGTGCAAAACTAATAAATCA